CTATCCTACACAATTTTCTTTCCTTCCTCAAATGAAATGACTAGATTCAGCAGAGATGGGCAGACATCAGCTGTGGTTTACCTGGAGCTCAGCTGAGCCACTCTGTTTGATCAAAAATGCAGGTAGTTTTCTTTGCAAGGTACTCTGGAGCAGTGAGCTCCAAGCGCTCCCGTGCTGCCCCAATGAGGGCTCTCTGTAATGGCAACCTTTAGATCAAGTAGAATCATAGAATCTCTCAGGTTGGAAAAGACCTTAAAGACCATCGAGTCCAACCATGACCTAACCATCCCACCCTAACTAACAACCCTCTGCTAAATCATGACCCTGAGCAGGTAGTACTCAAACTTATGGGAAAATAAAGAAAAAAACTCCACAACACAAAACGGAGATCTTAGGAGTAAAACTGCTGTGGATCTGAACGTCATCTACAGGAAGTTCATACACAGAAGAACTTGCCTGCTCCTCTTTCAGCTATATAAGCTATCTCATCAACAATCTTAGGGCCTAGTCTCTAAGAACATCACCTTGCAAGTGGTGACTAATGGAAGACATTAGAAATGCCATCCTCATGTGGTTCCCCTCACCACACGATCCAGCAGCCATCATACACACAGAAATGGCATGAAGGGACATATCAGCGCCTCCCCAGATCCACCCCATGGACACACAGAGCTCTGCCACGTAGCGGTGCTGTGCCACGGAACAAAGCTGAGCTCTGCCCTACCCACCTGAAGGAGTGCTGCAATCGTGCCAAAAGAGTGCCACAGCATGGGGGCAAGGTCAGGCACAGACTCGCGCTTCTTGCTCAGCTCCAGCAGTGCATTCTCCCTCGTCTCAGGGCTGGACAGCTCGTTGATCCACTGGTAGATCTTCTCACGGTCCACCTGAGCCAGCGCTGTAGGCACAGGCTGGGAAGGAGACAAGAAAACTTCGGTCACGAAGCCAAACGCTTCTCACAGCCTCACAGGCAAAGCAAAAAAAGGGCTCGAGGAAGTGGCTGGGGAGGGAGGGACTACAGCTGCATTAAGAAGCAGTGGATATGGATGATCGCTTAGATCAAGCTTACTACTTCGCCTATCTGAAACACAGATGTTTCACTTTCTGGCCTGACTCATTAGGGCAGTCTCCCTTGATTGGCCTGCCAACCATTTCCTTACAACTTCATTTGGTGACATGAGAGCCGTGCTTCTGCCCATCTGTGTCAGCAGAGCTCCTGGGGAGGCCACACATACTTTAGCCACCTATCACCCACTCTGCCTGCATTGATTTCATGCTTCAGATGCAAGCTCCCACAAATCCCACCCAAGTAATGCAGATGCTGCCTTTTTCTCTCCAGGAACAACCAGGATACTCAATGAATCCCATTGACAGGCTTCAACAAACATGAGAAAAGTGTTCATACAAATAACAGAAAAATTCTCACTACACCAACATCAATACAACGCTGTGGGGCAGACAAAAAACACAGCCAGTAACACTGGTGTTACAGACTCCTCCAATTCATCCCTGGTATCTCCTTTAGCTGCACGGAGTTAAAAGGAAATGTTTCAAGACTGTTTTTGTGCAGAAGTTCCTATTCAAAAACAAACAACCCTGAGAAGGGCAGATGTGCATTCATTGTTAAGACACTTTCTACTACTTGGGAGAAACACACAATTTCTCTTCTGCCTTTCTTGAAACATCATGGGAAAAAAACATCAAGGCCAACAAGTTTTCTGGGCAAAAAACAAAATTAGGGAGGGCTGAGAAGAAAGGGATAGCAAACAAGTGACACGTTAGCAGTTTCTGTGGAAATGGTAAAGAAAAACCTCGCAATGAAAGCCTGTCTCATGCCACTGCTGGCATATCAAGCACTCAGGTTGCAAGCAGGCCTCCTACATGGATAGTGTGGTGATTCAGACCAACAATTTGAAGGCAAACTTATGCATTAAAGTGAGTGCTTCATGCACTGCACTGCCAGCAGTAGTGCTAGCAGCAGCTCCTTACTGAACACAAAAGAGTTGGGGAACTGACAGCAACTGGATCCAAAATGAAGTTCCCAGAGCTGCTGGAAGGAGACCATGCCTTAGGGACATACCCCCATAGCCTTCCCTCTTTATTGCTACAGCAGTTTCCTTGCTCAGCTATCCACACATTATATTCATAATCATGTCCTAAAAAACCCTGTGGGATTGACAGTGGATTGAAGTTGTAATTTGTAATCTCTTCCTCTATGTAATTTAGGCTACAATATAATCTGATGTGCTGTGTTACCAATCTCCACATCTCAGGCCTCTAATACCTTGTACCTGCTCATCTTTCCTGCTGTGCCCTTTTTCTCCTCTTGTCTACCCTATATTATTTCATTTTTTCCCCCAGAACTTCATACTGAAATGATAACCTAACAATTTTATGTACAAGGAACACAGTTCCAGTGGTAACTCCAATACCAGAGCTGGAAGAGAGAAGGTGAACAGACTGAGCTCATTTGTTTTCATTTGGGATGGCAGAGTGACAAGCAGTGCAGCAGTAATGTTGTTATAATTGTGTTATCTAAAGCTTCCATCTATTTTTCTAGACTCGTTGTTTCAGTTCCTGTAAGCTTAAATATATCGACCCTTTAAAAGCACAATCATGTGTCTATGATCCCTAGAGAGCACTAAGCAGATTTTCCAGACAATTAAGTTTATGATGCCCAGTATCAGTCTTACTGAGAACCAGTTGCTGGTCACAGGCTCTACAGTTGCTCAGTAAACATTCTAGCTGAAATCGAAAGCCACATTTTGTCTTCATTTCCTGTTTCATTGTTGCTTCCCCTCTTCCCAGACCTAAAACTGTGGGGAACCCCAAGGGCTACACACAACCTCTGCACTCTCTGAGGCAGCACCCTACCAGGCAGGCCTTCATCTGCACACAGGGAAAGCAGGAGCTCCCAGCAGTGTCTCACACCACAGGACTGTGCCACCTCCACACCACTGACAAGAACAGGGTGCTACCTCAGACATCCCTGCTGATCACATCCCCAGCAACAGCTGAATGACCTGGAGAAAGGCAATTGGCTTTCTCCCCCATGTGAGCAGCAGCTGCCAGGCATGCTGAAGAAAACAGCCAACCCCCAATACAGAATGCTACCCAATCAGATACAGGTGCTTTTAAAGAAATTTTGGTTGATCAGCAACTCAAAGAACACCAACACAAACTTTGAACTTAACTATCAGTGAATTCACTAGTTCAATCTGGACTTCCCATGCCTTACTGCTACCTACAGCTACAGTAAAGCTGTATTTTTTTTTCTTAGCTTATTCTCCAGTCTTCAGTGTCTAACGCTGTCGTCAGACCTAAAGGCAAAGTGCCAGCTCTGCCACCAGCACTGCAGGGACAACAGCGATGCTCCTGCTTACAGCAGCTTCATCATGAGACGCTCACAAAGCCTCCAGGAGCTCCTCAGCCCACTCACTGTTCCACTCAGAGCAGCACTATTCACCTTTGTTAATACAACTGCCAAGGACTTCTGCAGAGTGGAATGCTCCTCCTTCTCACATTCAGCCTACAGCGCATTGATCGTAGTAAGAAACGTTTCAATACAGATCCATCAGGTAGCATGGATTGTGACAAATTAAACACACACTCAGATGAGCCCCAAAGTAAAGCTGACTTCTAATCCTGACTTCGATTACGTCGTTAAAACTGCCTTCCAAAAAAATCCTCTTACAGAAGGATGGGTGGCACTCAGATTAACAGCAAACATAACAGCACCTCGTGCATTTTGACAGCTGTTTTGGAATTGGAGAACCATTTGGGTCGGAAGGGACCTTTAAAGGCCGTCTGGTCCAACCCCTGCAACGAGCAGGGACACCCACAGCTCCATCAGTGCTCAGGGCCTCTCCAGCCTGACACGAAATGCCTGCAGAGACGGTGCAGCCACCGCCTCTGTACAGCCCATGCCATCGCCCCACCACAATACACCACTCTCAAGACGTAAATGCTGATTAAAAGCGTTCAGTACGAGCTCGCGTTCCCTCCCGTGCTTCAGAAAGCAGCGTCTCAAACCTCATCAAAAGCATTTGCAGGCAGGAAGACTCGGAAGCCCGCTCAGCTCCCGCTGTGGCTATTCGCGCTCGTTACGCCGAGCAGCACCGCAGCCATCTGCCGCCTGCAGCGACCCGCTCGCCCCAAGCCTCTGCCAAACGCTTCGCCCGCAACGAGCAGCTACTCGGGGAGCCGAAAAGCCAAAGGGCACACACATCGCCCACCCAGACCGCACGCTGCCGGGCTCCCCGCGCCCCAACCTCGCCCCAGCAGCTCCGGTTCCCCGAGGGACACTCGGGCCTCCCTCCCCCTCGGCCCGCGCCCGCCCGCCCGCCCGCCGTCTCCTGAGAAGGAAACGAGGAGCTCGCCCGCCGAATGAACCCTCAGACCCCCGGTGCTGCCGGCTCACCGCGGCTGTGGCCAGGCTGTGCATGGTGCCGGTGGCTCCGGGCCGCGCTCAGAAACCCGCCGCCATAGAGGCAGCGCCGCGCGGGGCGCCGGGAAGGGAACGCGGCCTCGAGGAGGACGAGGTGCGCGTGCGCGCAAACAGCGGCGGGGAGCGGGCCGCTCTCTAACGGCGCCTGCGCGGCGGCAGGAGGGGAAGGGACGAGAGCGCCGCTTCGGAGCGTGGGCGCGTGCGCGGCGTGCCGGGAAGGGCGCAGCGGCGCAGCAGCGCTGACGTCAGCGGGGCGCGCGCGCCTGCGTGCCGTGCGTCGCGCGGGGAGCCGGTTCCCGCCATCCGCCGCCGCGCCCCTCCGCGGGCCGCAGGTACCGGGAGCGCCGCCCTTCCCTCGGAGCGGGGCCGGGTGATGGCGGCCGCGGCCTCCGGAGGGACCGCCTCGCCCCGCAGAACCGCCTCGGGCCGCCCTCCTCTCACCCCCTCCCCGGACGCGGCGTCCGGCCCCGCTCGCTTCTAGCGCTCCTCCGGGGAAGGCCGCATCTCCGTGTGGAGGTGGGCGCACACCCCGCAGCACGCGTTCTCTTTCCCGCAGGTTCCGAGGCGGTGCCGGCTGCGGTGAGGCCCCGCCATGGCCCCGCTGAAAGTGCACGGCCCCGTGCGGATGCGCAGCATGCAGACTGGCATCACCAAGTGGAAGGAGGGCAGCTTCGAGATCGTGGAGAAGGATAACAAAGTCAGCCTGGTGGTCCACTACAACGTGGGGGGCATCCCCAAGACATTCCAGGTGGGCGCTGCTGGGCCGTGTCCTTCCCGGCTATCGCGTGTCGCTACTCCTTCTGCCTCCTTCCTGAGCGCCATCCCTCGGTTGTAGCCCTGCACTCGAATTATTCAGGTGTGGTGTTATGGTATCCGCTGGATGGGAAGGGCCGAGCAGCAGGTGTAGAGCTGTGACCCACGTCTTGCTTTTTGGAATACCTTCTTGTTGCGATAGGTGGGCAGCCTGCAGGTGATGTTGAGATTTGGTTTTGCTTTGCTTTTTAAAAGAATCATTTAGCAACTTTCCAATCAGTTGGGTTTGTTGCCTCTGTGCTGCCTCTGCTTTCTGGCATCACTGCTGTTTTCTGACTGGTGTATCAGACCTTTCTCTGATCCATTTGTTTCTTCCTATGAACTTAATGAAAAAGAGAACATGTTGCGTTTGGAATACCAGGTTTTTGCTCCCTTAGCAAGCTGAGAAGTCTCAGCAAGGAACCTGAAAGCCTGTGTTGTATTGGAATCAGGGTGTAAGAGAGGCACGTGCTTTGATTGCCTCATACCATTGTAACTGTAGACTTGATAATATCAAGACCGGCCCACGTTGCTGCACACAGTGCTGTGACTGTGCTTTTGGTGGAATCCCAGTGTTTGACCACGGTGTTACAGTCCCTTATTCCCCTTATGCCTTCCCAAGGCTCCTGTTTGTGCTCTGTTCTGCCAGGATGAGTTTTTCTGTGGCACAGTAGTGCCTGGAGCTGTGGTTCTGTAGGAGGGTGAGCCTGCCCAGCATCTGTCTATGTCTGCAGGGACAGGCTTTGCTCCTGTCTCTCTTCTGGCTGTGGCACTCCTCAAGTCTGCGAGAGCTTTGTGGAGAGTTTCCACTTGGAGGGGGCCAAACAGCAAGTCTGATGGACTGGGAAGCGTGGTGCTCTGCATCTAGGGGCACAGCAAAGAGGAAATGAACAGCCCAAGCCTTAGAGCAATTAGTTTCATTAGGCCAACAGTTATTTTCCAGCTGGAGCTGCTCTCTGGTCCTGATCATCTTGAGGTAGTACAGGTGCTGGCAGCAGGGAGAGTGGGCTCCCCGTTGTGTTGTGCACCTGTGCCAGCTGGTCCCAGTCTCGGTGCCCTCATTACAGGTGTGCCAAATACTTTGTAATTCTGCTTTAAAAGTACCATTCTCTTGTTTGCTTGCTTTCTTTTTCCCCCTGGCAAGTTGCTCTGAGAAGTTGTGAGCAGTTTCCCCCACTTTTTCACTTTGCTGTAACAGAACATTCATGTGGATCCTGGGTTATATTTCTGTTGCTGTTATTTGATGTTTTGATGAGTTTGCTAGATACGAGATAGTGTGTGAAATGTGTCATTTATTTTCACCTCCTGAGGTGCTAACGCTGACTTTTTGGTAACAGGTACACAGAGACTGTGCTTGGAGACCTCTTATGTGAGCATTTTGAATAGGAATACATTGTGCTGCACTGAGATGCCAGAATATCTGTAATCCCTGTGCACTGACCTCTGTTTTAAGAGAGAATGAAAAACTTGGGACCTGTTTTCCAATATGTAGGGGAGAAAGAAACCTCATGGATGAACACTTTGTACAGGAATCAGTTTTTGTTCTAAACTTGAGTACGGTTTGTAGGGGACAAAACAACTGTATAGTGAAACTGAGGTTGCCTTACGACTGCTGTTCGTGTCTGTTAATTGGATATCATTATTTGGATCAGCTGTGTGGTGATGCACAGGTGGTGCCACTTGAGGAGGAGGCTCCAGTCTGATGGGCAGCCTCTTGCACTGCAGTGCCCAATGGCCTTGGCTGTGGTTTCAGCTTGCAATGTAGCAATGTCCAGGTAAGAACGTCATTGTGTAGCAGTGCCTGGTTTTTAGGAAAGGCTGCAGAAGTAGCAGAAAAATGAATAAGTGCAAAAGGATGCAGAAGTTGAAAAGTACTTGTGTATTGACATCTGTATGGTCGCTTCTCCACAAAACCCACACCTTGTGAGTGACTTAGCAGGAAGCAGCAGTTACTTCATGTTGTAATATAGCGGCACAGCGGAATTATTGGAGAGAAGTAACTCTTAAAATTGCTCTCATGCATGACTATAACCTCAAAACTTTTGACACTGTTTACTTGTTGCCGTGCTGTACAGAGACTAAAGGTTTCTTACTTACCACCCCGTGAAGTTTTTTTAAGCTTTGTCAAGTCTCTTTTCCTCTGAGTGAATTATAGAGTGAGCATAAGTTTATGCACCACATTTAAAACTCAAAACTTTAAACTTTCCCATCTTAAAATAATATTTTGAACCAGACAGAGGAGTTTCAGGCAGCCAAAAGGGACTGTAGGATGTTTTCATTCCTTTGGTTTAGAACCGTCGCACTCAACAGCAGAGCAAGTTTCAGAAAGCTTAACCAGGAATGCAGGGATTGATGAGCCATAGTAGTGCTGTCCTTTGGGTTATGTCAGCTCCCAGATGACTGATAGCTTTAATTCTGTGAGGCTTTATGCTTGCTGGGAGTAGAGCAGGGGGATGTGTTTCTGTGCAAGTGCCTCTTACGCTCTCTCTCGGTTTGAAGTGTTTTGTTTGAATTTGTATTTGGGCCTTTCTAAAGCACGCTGATGGTGATAGCCATTTCTTTGCTTTCAGCTAAGCCATAACATCAAGTCTGTGACCTTACGGCCCAGTGGCAGAAAGCTGTGCTGCCTGATGCTGACGCTGAAGGATACCAGCTTCCTGACCATTGATAAGGTACCGCTTAAAGACGCGAATGAGATGCGGATGTATTTGGATGCGGTCCATCAAGACAGGCTTCATACTGGTAAGTGTTGTAGTAGTAATTCACACCAGTGACAGCTTAGAGAAGGTACAATACTGTGGTATGGGTGTTTTTTTTTTTTTCCACCTTTAGCCACCTTTCCTCCTTACGTTACTTTCTGTGCATGTTATATTTGTGCAAATCTGTCTGGCTCTGACCCCCGGTTTTTGTTGTGTGCCTTTGTCATGCTGAACAATAAGCAGAGATGAAACAATCAGGGATTGTTTCTGTTGTGTGTACATCGGTATTTGAAAAACTCGTGTCTTTATCACACCTGCATAGTTTCTTTTGATTCTTCCACTTATTTTGGTTGTTTTAAGGGTAGGAACTTTTCTTCACACTGAGTAAATGGCCAATATAAGGGCAATCCATAAACATGTGCTTATGTCTATGCACTCAGAATGTTGTACTGTCTGTTGGCAAGAAATCTGGTGTGTCTCTTCCAAAACCAACCTCAAAATATCTTACACATACAAATGCTGGTCAGTGAAATGAGCATCAAATCAAACATTGTGTACTTTTCCTGTCAGCTGGGAAACCCTCTCAGGGATCTGGCAGCTTTGGAGGTGTGCTGGGCAGCAGGACCACACAGAAGGAAGCTAATAGGCAATTCTCTTATATAGAGAATCAGGTTTGTTCAACTGTTCATGTTTTTCCTCTTCTCTAATTTTATTTTGTTCATTTCCCCCTCTCATTCTCTTATTGCATGTTGTAATAGCACCATAAATATTTATTTTGCACCCAAAGTCTTTGTGTCTCTAGGGCTTGTAATAGATGCGTACAGGATGGTTGGCAATGGTGCTTCTTGCTTGTAAGGAGGCTCATAGTCTGTTTGCTTTAGGAAGGTCAACATCTGCCTGTAGAAAACCGTGCCTGTTCTTCAGACTGAGCTGTATCAGTCAGGCAGAAGAGGAGCAGCAATTGAAGGAAAGTGGTTGAGGCTTGCTTCTCAGTTTTGAATATCTTTGTTTATACTGAACACTTCAAATACATGGCAGCTGAGTAAGCTTTGATCAGTGCAGGTCTTAATGAGTTTGTACACATCTGGCTAAAGTGTGCAACTGAAGAGCTGATGGCTGAATTTTTGTATTATCAGAGTAGAGTTACTGAACCTGTGCCATTCTGCTTTTTCTCTGTGTGTATATTTTGCAGACTTCTCCCTGGAAGTGTTTTTTTTTTCAAAAGACTTTAGTTGTTCCTTCTCTCCCACCATGGTGTATCTACCAACTTTAATTTGCACTGTAATCTCTGTGAATATATCTTAATAGCCCTGAGGGCAAGTATTTTTTTACATTGTCCCAAAACAAATTTTGCATGTTGCTTAAAGGCAATCTCACAGTAAGAACTCTTAAGGTTGCATGTGCGTTGGTAAGATTAGACACATTTAGTTTTCAGGTATAAAGCTGACACACATTCCTTAGCTCGTTTCTCTGCATTGGCCCAGGGCTGTCAAGGCACTGTTTTAATTGTATGCCTTTTATATACCTTTTTTTTCTTCTTTTAATGCCACCCAGGATTGATCTGAGGGTGGTTAGGAGTTGTGCTTTGGGTGTTTTAATCTCAAAGCACATAATGGAGATTTAAACACAAAAGCCCAACTGACTTGTAATTGGAGCACGAGAAATTTGTTACTGCTGTGGAGTTTCGTGGTCATGACTTTGATCAGTGCAGTCAGAAGTTTAAGTCTAATTAACGTGAAGCTCTTGCTCTATCACAAGTGGCACTTTTCTGCTTTTGGGTACTACGCTGTGGCAAGTCAAGCAGTGGTGTAAATGCTAAGTGTAGGCTCACGGTGGTGGTCATGTTTTTCGCTGTTTTTATTGTCTCTGTTTTGCTTTTGCAGGCTCCTCCCAAAAGGGTGACTGTGGAAACTAAGGATGAAAATCCATTCCGCAAGGTGCTGGGCACCCCAGCTCGGGCATCTGTTAAGAACTCCAGTGGAACTGGAGCACCTGGCAACAGGGGGAATGTTGCAGCATCTCCAGCGTCATCAGTCGCTCACAGAACAGGCTTGCTGGAGAGCCGGTAAGGGTGCTTTCCAGTTTGCATGTGGCATTGTAGAAGTTTAGGTCTTTAGAGAACTGCAGGTAGAGTTGCTACACCTGGAAGGAAGAAGAGAGTGTGCTTCTTCCTCTGCTTTTGCTGTTACTTTGACAAGGATGGTGAAATGTGCTTTTCCAGCCTCTTGCTGGTGCTTGAGCTTTATGAGCAGCTTAGGTGAGCAGACCAAGTGTTCCTGTGTGCTATGTTATAAAAGTGAAAACCATGGAAGATAAGTGAAACACATAACACTGAGAAATGCTCTTCTTTTGGAAGAGGATTATTTACTTGCCTTTCTGGAAGAGTGACCACTTCAAATTCTTTCCTCATTAGTGAAAAGAGGAAAAGAGCACAACCTCCAAGTTCAGAAATGAGTGAAGATTATCCCAAAGAGAATGATTCTTCGACGTAAGTAACTGTTGTTTCTACTTTCTTATTTAAACTCTGTGCATTTATAAAGGTAGGTTCTTTTTTAAGACAAATTTCATGAATTGTTATTTGGAAAATATGGCCTATGTGCGCAGCTGCATTTAATCTTAAGTGAAAAGTCTTGTTTAAATAATTGGTTAAACTTGTGAGCAAAACATACCTGTTCACTAGCCCTAACACCTTTATTACTTGACGTAAATGTTTTAAAACGAGTCATAAATGTCAACCAGGCCTACCCTGTCTTTTCTGTAGCATCTCTGACTTACGCTCTTGTATATCTACAGGAATAATATAGCTATGAGTGATCCAGCATGGAAATACTTAAACAGTAGCAGAGAGAAACAGTTAAAACTGAAGCAAGAGGAGGAAAATAGGACGTCAGGTAAAAATAAAAGTAAATCCAGATGATACCTGCTATTTGCTCTGTTCTTAGCTTACAATCTGCTTTCTTTGTGCCGCCAACATTCCTGCTTCCTACAAAGCCATATCTAAGATGTAGGCATCTTTCCTTTGCTTTCAGAGCCTACTCTGGCTTATCTTTCACTGCTGATCAGTGTGATCCTGACCCCTGTATTTGACTGCTGAGGCCAGCTAGTGTGTATGCCTGTTTGAAAGTTCAACAAGCAGCCTCGTGCTTTGCTCCCAGTTGTCCTTCTCTCTGGGAGGGGTGTCCTATAAACATCTAATAATTTCCTCTCACCCTCTTGTTTATCTTCATAACTCTTTATGTGCTATTAATGCCCACACAATATTGGATATTGGAAATTATTAGTGGGCTGTTAGTGGGTATTGTGAAACTTGTATATTTGTACGAAATATGGTGTTGTTTATTGGATAGTTAAAGCCTTTTAAATGGTTAGTGGCAATTGCTTCTAAGTGTCATAAGTTTGAGTATGGATGTAATGGGCATTGTGGAGTCTCCTTCTATGGAGATACTCAAGACCTACATGGATGCCTACCTGTGAGACCTATTGTAGGGAGCCTGCTTTTAGCAGGGAGTTTGGGCCTGCTCTAGAGGTCCCTTCCTACCCCTGCAATTCTGTGGTACGAAATTCAGTTAAAAATCCAGGGTCCTTTTGTGTACAAGTTACCAGTATTTGTGTTAATACTTCTAAGATACTTGCTTTAATACTTTCTCCAATGTATCTGCAGGATAGTTGTTTTGTTTTTTTTAAGAATTCTGAAACCTTCTGGCTATGTAATTTGAAACCATTAGTGTATCATGTAAACATCTGAGTTATGTGAAACAAAGTGACCTACTTCTCTATTTCTCTTTATAAAGGTGTTTTACCGCTGCAGTCGTCATCCTTTTATGGTAGCAGGTCCTCATCAAAAGAGTACTCCACTAGCAGTTCCACCCTGGACAGGTAGGCCTGATTCACTCCCCTGAGCTGTAAATGACAGTCCATTCCCAGGAACTGGGATCTTCTGTTTCCTGTGTGTTTATTATGTGGTACGCAGCTTTTACGGATAAAATGTGTATAGCTTAAAATCTCAAGCACCCAGTGCATCTACAGTCACTCTTATACCTCCCAACTCCAGTACTGCTTTAAACAGATGGACTGTCTAAGTTCACTCTTTTATAGTCACTGTGAACGACTGATCCAGGTGATAGCTGAGGTGTCGTTGGTTCAAGTGATGTTGCATACACTCCTGTAGATGTAAGGAATTTTAACCAAGGGAAGTTTTCTGGACAGACGTTTGCCTTTTTGTACCTCTTTGTCACTGTGATAGATGCTAGTTGTCTTCTGTGACTTTGCTAGTCCTTCTCCTCCATGGTGATACAGTTGCGGTGTCCTGAGGTGTTACTTTTTAAGGCAGAGAAATAGAAATCCTTCACTACTTATTCTTTTATGGTTTTAGGTCTAGTGTATCCAGCCAGACTACTTCAGCCAAAAGAAGCCTGGGATTTCTTTCTCAACCTGCCCCTCTTTCTGTTAAGAAAATGAGATCTAATCAAGATTACACAGGGTGGAACAAACCCAGAGTGCCCCTTTCCACCCACCCTCAGCAGCAATTACAAGGGTAGGTTCAATTTTCTTTATCTAGCATGCATGCCTTTGTCATTAGAACATGGATATTCTTGCTATAATTGTTTCATGGAGGAAAAAAAAATATCTTGAAATCAATGAACATGGATTTCCCAGCTTGGAAAATACATATTCTTAAATTCACTTCCTGAAAATTTGATGTATATAATAACTTTAGATAATTGGCATTCCGTTCATACCACTTCCATGATTCACTTTTATATCTTGTGCACATACCCACATCTTAATACTTTGATTGTTGTAACTCATGGATGTTTTGCTGACAGACGTTGCCTCCTGTAATTTTTCAGTTTAGTGTGAAGGGCAGAGGGACAGCTCCAATAAAAGCTGTGTGGGGGATACCTGGGGTGATGGATGGTCCCATGTGGTATCAGTGCTGTTTAACATGGGCACGATGACACATTTGTGTACATACTACACTTAATTTTCTGTTTTTCAGGTTTTCTAACTTAGGAAACACGTGCTATATGAATGCCATTCTACAGTCCTTGTTTTCAATCCAATCCTTTGCTAACGATTTGCTCAAGCAGGGCATCCCATGGAAGAAGATTCCACTCAATGCGCTTATCAGGTAAAATTCATTTTCTGAGAAGATTTTCTCCTTCATTACTGAGAAGCTTGTTTCCTAGTATTGAAGCAACTTTGTGTAGAGGGTGATGTATGTGTGTACACATAGGTGTACCTGTCTGTATTCTGGAGCTTTACTTAAGAGGCTGGCTTTTAGGAATTGTAGCGCTGCGTAGTTCTTTGTGTGCTCTACTTCTAATGATAGATTAAAATGTGCAAAAATGCAGAATGACTTCTTAAACCATTATCAGCTAGGGTTTAAGCTGGTCACCAAATCCTGCTGTGTGAGGGATTATGAATTTTTGGAAGATACACTTTGTCTGGTAGCTGTGAAAAGTGTTTGTATTCTGCATTTGATCTTACTAAATGCAGACAAACCTCATGTCAAGAAATTCCAAGAGTCATGTGTAAAGTAGTTTTTTCTCTTGGAAATTTAGAATTCATTTGCCATTCAGATTCTGTTGTACGTCTACCAAAAAGACAAACTGTAATTTGGATTTGCACTGTGCTCTCTGCTGTTCAGCATTTGTTATGTGCACTACTCTACCTCCTGTTTTCCTCTGACTAGCGAGATTCAAAGCATCAGAACCACATTCCTGCATTCATTTCATTATCATTGTATTCTTTGGAGTCACTCCTATTCTTGCTGTCTCTCCTTGAAGTCTTTCTATGCTGCTCAGAATCATAGATATGATTGCATTGCAGTGATGTACGTTTTGGAAAGTTCATAAATTTTGTGAAAGCATTTGTTATGCTTGTGCCTTGTACATCTAAAGGTAAACTGTGGGTAGAGCTTGTGTAACAATACAATAACAAAAAAATCTTAAGGAAAAAAAGGAACTTTTGACCATGAAACTTCAACCCAGTCATTTATGAAATGGCACCAAAATAAATAACACGTTTCCTATAAGTGTTTTCAAAAAGCATTGGTCTTTATCTTGCTGTAAAACCTATTGCAAAAATAAGTTAACAGAGCTTTATAGGACTCTTCTCTTTACCTTAGAAGAGTCAGGATGTTTTCATTTGGCTCCTGTTCCAGTGGTGATCTCAAATTAGAGAATTCTAAAATACTTCAAATGTATTGAAATGTACAAATTCAAAATACTTGAAATGTAAAAGGTTATTTTCCATTTCCTGAAATATTTTCATACCAAACTCCCACGCTGCTTATCACATGGCAAAACCTTGTAGAAACCCTTAAAAGAAGAAGCCGTTTGTTTTACTGGAACTGTCTGAAGGCCTGGATGGTCGCTCAGTGTCTCACTGCATTGACTTCTGCAGACGTTTTGCCCATCTCTTGGCGAAAAAGGATGTCAGCAGCCCTGAGGTTAAGAAGGAGTTGCTCAAGAAGGTGAAAAGTGCCATTTCAGCTACTGCAGAGAGATTCTCTGGGTATATGCAGAATGTAAGTATCGTGCGGTCTAGGACCAGTTGTGTATGCTGTTTGTTGTTTGGACTGCACTGAACTCCTGTCGGGCTTCATCTCCGTTTGGCAGTGATTTGAGCTTTTGATTGAATGATAACTGTTGCCTGCCCTCTGCTAGATCAAAACTGTCTTAGTATTGCTGTGAATGTAATGGACAGAAATGTGATTTCCCTCATCCAAGTGTGTGAGAGATTCTGCACAGAGTTCTAGAAAATGATTGTGTTGAGATTACCCTGTTTCTAGGATGCACATGAGTTCTTGAGCCAGTGTCTGGACCAGCTGAAAGAGGACATGGAAAAGTTGAACAAGACTTGGAAGAGTGAACCAGTCCCTAATGACGATAGCTCACCTGGGAGGGCTTCTGATGATCTTTCAGCTACCAAAGTTTATACATGCCCAGTTATCAGTAACTTAGAGTTTGAGGTTCAGCATTCTATCATTTGTAAAACGTAAGTATGCCTCAGAGCTTTTCCTGTTAGGAAGAGCTTGAGTTTTCTGTGACTTCATCTGCATGCTGTAGATAGAACTAAGTTAGCAGTATGCTTTTGGTTGGTTGTTAGTGTTTTTTAAGTTACTGAAGCATCAAAGTTAAAATACACAAATTCATCTTTATCATAAGCATGAAACAATTTCATTCTGATATGGGTGAAATAGAGCGAGGTGCATATATTTTCTGGGAAGCTACTTTAGCCTGAAAAATATAAATTGTTGGTAATTTCAAGTTTATTTTTTATCAGGCTTACCTAAGCTCATTTCTTTTTCAGATGTGGTGAAACAGTCACCAAACGGGAACAGTTTAATGACCTCTCCATTGACCTTCCTCGAAGAAAGAAGTTGTTTCCATCTCGGTCGATCCAGGATTCCCTTGACCTCTTCTTTCGGGTACGTAGTTCATATACATACATAAACAGTAGACTTGTAGGGAAAATACTGCTCGTGGTTCTTGCATTAGCAGATATGTTGTCAAGTTCTAAGCTTTGCTACCCATGCTGCCATTGGGTGCCCTCTTGTCAGATCATGTTGAAGATTAATATGACTTTTAGTATAGCTGCTCTCTTGAGGAGCTTTTATGACAGCCAAAAGAGATGTCCTTCCTGTTGAAAACTGTGTGATGCATCATTTGTTCCACTGGTCTTTGTTTTGTTTTAACACAGGCAGAGGAAATTGAGTATTCCTGTGAGAAATGTAATGGGAAGTCTGCTGTTGTCACACATAAATTCAATCGGCTTCCCAGGTAACTGTTGACATCTGTTCCTTTCTTTCCTGGAAACACATCCCCAAAAGTGCATGCAGAAGCTCCTCGGAGATGAAATCTGTAATAGTGGATAGGGCATCATGTGTGGTGGTGGTGGTATGTGAGGAAGATCCACATGCAGGCAGTAATTTCTTCACACTGTCCTTCAGTTTCCTTGTGAAAACCTTCTATGTGCTGAGTAGCCTTTGCAACACTTCTTCCTCCATCACTACACAGGAAGGTCTGAGTTTTTCCTTGTATTGGATTCTCAGGAGGGAGGTATGAACAGTTAAAATAATAATAATAATAATAATTCTGTACATTTAATATTTAGTGCTCAGTTGACCTGATGTGCCATACTGAGCTGGGGACCTTCTTATCAGAAGTCATAGAGAGGGTTTTGCTTTGGTCTGGTCTTCTGTGCTGATCCCCGGCTTCTCTCTTAGTAAGCATGCAAAGAAAGAATGCAAACACTCTGAGGGTTAATGGCATGCTCAATAGTTCCAGACCTCGTGGTGGTGTTCAGTTCATTGCTTGATGGTAGAGATCATTTTCTTATGGGATGTAAAGCTCAAAGAGAATGTTGGATGCCTTTACTTGGCCACTGTCCTTGTCCTGTGGTGCATGCTCATACAGAACGTGGTGAATTGATGTTCTGCTAAAAGACTAGCTTGTGTTCTTCTTAACGAGCTTATGTCCTGTGACAGTGCTGCAAAACCTTTGTCAAAGTGTTTGGGTATTAGCACAGTGTAAGTGATGATGCAACTGCTTGACCTAAGTAGCTGGTACGAAGTACAGCATAAGGGAGAAGGCTCAGTGCAAGGAAGCTTTTTCAAGCTCTTTATACTGTTCTGATCAAAAGCTGTTCTAAAAAAGCGTTATGACAGATAAGAAGAGTACATGTCGTCCACTGGGCACAGCTCCTCTTCAGCTCTGGGAAGCTGTGTGCTCCCTCTGTCTCTGTCAAGTATCTACAAGTAATATATGATCATTCTGGTGTGTTGAACAATAATATTCTGTTTGTTTCCTATGCCTGTCACCATGTTGTAGGAATAATGTTTGATAAGAGCTGCTTGCTTTGGCCCACCTGAGGAGTAAGGTGGTGCAGGATCAAAACAGAAAGCCTCTTGGCAGCCTGCATTCTACACGTTGTGGAGCTGGGAGGTGGATGGCAGAGTGATTATGCATCTCTTACTAGATAAGAAAGAGAATGCTTCTCTCTTTCTCTCCCATGTGATGATCTGCTTTAAAGCACGAGTGCACTTTTTGTAAACAGAACCACTTGGATTTTTAATAGCTTTTCTAACTTGTATCTTGAGATTAACGTTGCAATTCTGTACTTCTCTCATGTTTTTTCAGGGTCCTGATTCTTCATCTGAAACGATACAGCTTCAATGTAGCATTGTCTCTCAATCACAAAGTTGGGCAACAGGTGGTTATTCCGAGATACTTAACCCTGCTTTCACACTGTACAGAAAGCACCAGGCTGCCACTGACACTGGGCTGGAGTGCTCATTCTGCAATGTAAGTGTACAGCCTGGGTTCAGCTTGTGCTGTGTTATGCGCCTGCAGTGAGGTTGTCAGATCTATCTGATGTCTGGATAAAGAACCACCAAAATTGTGCAGCCTCAGGTGCAAGATATGTAATCTGGCCTCTTGGTACAAAATGTAGATTACCTTTTGTTTGCTTAATTCTGCTGAGAAGGCACAACATTCCTTTTTCTGTTGATTTCCATTTGCACACCTCATGCTGTCATTCATTTTTCACTGTCTTTACTATGTTACTGTGGTATCTGAGGACTTCATGTGTTGAAAATAATCTTCTTTTCCCTGTAGCAGTTATTTTGGTACAGCTGCTTGTCCTAAGATATTAAATGTCCTAAGAGATTAAATGTGCCAGATGTCACACAGATGTGGCAGAATAAGGAATAAAAAACCTTAGGTCCCTTGTTTTGCATTCTAACATACTGTAAATGTAGCAAGATAGAATACATCTGGTATCTGTTCTTTTGCTGGATATTTAATGGAGTTTGAGATTTACCTGGAGGTTTCTCAAGAGTTTGCTTTAAGAGTAGAAATCTTTACCTCCTAAACGTAATGAAAAGCTTAAGCTAACCAATGCAGACATACTTTAAAGCATATGTTAAATGGCTTTTGATTTTTTATTTTTTTTTTTGTAATCATTGAAACCATACTGATAAACCCAGACAGTGAAAGGGTGATGAAGCTGGGGAGGAGTAGCCCTGACTTAAGGAGAATGATGGAAATGGTTCCTGTGTTGGTGACCGTATGTTAGGTGGTTGTAGTGGTAGCAATGGATTGCAACGAGTCCGTAAAAGGATCAAGTGGAGCAGGAGATTTGCTTAGAAGATCTAGGTAATAGAGGAGAAATGGAGATGTGGGACGTGCCAGAAAGCCAGCTAATCCAGACAGCAGCAAGAGACTGTGGTTTGGGAGCAGGAACTTGAGCGTTGGTGGGAATCAGGGAAAAAGGAAAGAGTTCCCTTGACGTGGGAGTGCAACGCCTTTGACTTGTGAGCTTGTCCCTAAGGGTGCATCACTAAGAAGTGAATCAAATTTGAAGGATTGCATCTGGTTTTGAACTGCTGTTGTATATTTATGGCATCGTGGAGTTATTACTCTAAAAACAAGCAATTAGCAAGTATGTAATGGTATTCTACTTGCTGCTTTGAACATGAATTTGCATGCATAGCAGACATGTAAACATATATTATTTTGAAGACTAACTGCTGCAATAAATACTTTGCTTTTTAAATAGTTCCCGTCCACTGAAAGCCTCCCAAATGGTGAATTCCTGTACTATAAGCACTTCTACACCGAGTAGGTGAGTTGAAGTTCTGAAATGCTCTCTTGGCCTGGCATTTCATGGCATAGCTTCTGAGGCAGTTTGGATTTGCATAGTTTTTTTTTTCTTTACTATTTCTACTTTAAAAAAGAATCTGTTGTATAAATTGCTTTTAGGTACTGTTTTTTTTCATATCTGAGCTTTATTGGTGTTACACGTTAGCTGAAAGAAATACGAATGCTATCATTTGCCTAACTGACACCATCCTGTTAGCATTTCTCTCGGAAGCAAGCAAAGAGGAATTTTTTCATGGAGAAGGCTCAATGAGAACTGCATCTGGTTTGTACAGGTGATTGGCCAGGGCCAGGTATTTTAAACTGCCTTGCATTCATTGCTGCAAACCAGATGAATAAACAGCAACGTTTTTTCTAATTCTGTAGTTAAACTTTTTCCTGTTTTTATTTATGGAGCTGCAATGAGTTTAAAGAACAGGTGGTTGGTTCCTTAACCTTGTTTGTAAAGATGAGAGGGCATTATTATGGCCTTCATAGGCTGTTCTGAGAGGCCAGTTTTTGACATAGTGAGAAATGTGATATTGCAGCAGGTGAGTTGCACGTTTTGGAATGGATATAGAACAAATTTCCTAATTGAGCAGACATTTCAGACTTAGAGTCTCTTCTGCTCTAAAGAAACAAGGATTTATCCCAGTGAAGGAGCAAATGGGTAAACAACATTGTGCAGACTTGCAACTTTATATCCTAGTATTGATGTGAAAAGTCTTGTGTCCAGCTTAGTACATTTCAGGAGTTGAGTAAATGGTTTCTGCTGAGTTTTACATGTTAATGTGGGCTTGTCTCAAATGAATGCTGTCCAAGATTGCTGTGTGATAAAGTGCAGGCTCTTGGCTTGTGAATTTCTCTGGTGATTGTGCTACATCTTGTAACAGTGTCTTGTGAAGGAGAAAAACAACACTTGGTAGGTTGTGGGGTAAATAAACTATGAAGTGTTTATTTGTTGCCTGCTATCTTGGTAAATTTCTGTATTCAACAGTTGCAGCTTGTTCCCTAAATTGTGCCTCCCCACAGCCTGGAAATCTGCTGTAGCAGTTATTTAATGGTTTCTATGAAACAGATTTGTACAGTGCTATGAAGTTCTATAGCTGTGTTTTTAATTTACAGAAAATATACTTTCAAATCAAAGAGCTCTGCAGCACTCGGTGTGGATTCAGACAGCGATGATGAGCCCCTGAAACGTTCTGTTGCCAATAGCCAAAGGTTGTGCAACATACAGAACAGAGATCAGCAACAACTGCAAGAAGAGCCAGAAAAGGTAAGGGAGGGAAAAAATAAGTACAAGCTTCTGTGTGCATAGGGGCTGTATGTACTTGTGGCTTGCCTGTATTTTTCTTAGCATAATGAAATTGATGTAAGCTGTTTTCTCTCCTAATTAGCACTGTGATGCTAGAAGGGAGTGCTTTGCCATGCCAGCTAATTGACCTCTCTTCAATTGTCTTGAGTTCCCACTGGGAACAGAGGTAATTGTGTTGTAACTGCTCTGAACTTGCAGGGTTGCTTATACCAGCTGCTTAGCAGTTTTGTTGGTCCTTTGGGCAGCTTTCACTAAAGACTTTTCCATACAGATTGTAATGGACTGTCAATAATTATGCAGCAAAGCCCTCGATTAAATTAGAGCTAGTACAAATTGGGCTAGAGAAAATAGTTGAGAGAAGTTCTTGTGGCTAAATAAAAAAAACATGCAGTGATGTTGTGGAGGTGGTGGATGCATGCAGTTTCTCACCTAACAAGAGGATCCCAACCCATGTGATATTTAAGGAAAGATAAAATAATGGGTATTGAATTTCCAGAAGGCAGGGCTGGGAAAGACTGCAAGTGTGCTGAAGCTTAGAAGTACAGTTAAAATGATCTTGACAGATCTGAGAAACTGCCTATAAATAGGAGAAGTGGTTCAGTATGAACAGGCTAAAGACACTAATCTTAGCAGGGCTGACTGGCTGTAAGTGCAGGATGAGAACAGCTGGGAAAGCAGTGGGCCTTCAGAAAGGAGTAAGGGGCTACAGTTGGTCACAATATTAGGCTGACTGAAAAGGTAAATATATGAGGGAGGAATAGCCTGCAGGGTGAGTGAGGGGAAAAAAACATTTTTTCCTCAGCATTGATCTTTACCTGGAATGCTGGATCTATCATCCAGATCCATCTGGAATCCAGATTTGAAAAAGAGTTGGAGATTAATTGGAGAGAAGCAAGTGAAGTGAAACGTGAATGGTCAGATGTTTGGAAAGGAAGATTTCTGAGGAAAGAGTGGTTGAGTGAACTTGGGTCCTTTAGTGGAAGGAAAAACCTAAACAGGGTGTGTATCTTCAGGGGAGGGAAGGCAATGAATGGAAGCACTTGGGCTGTTTTCCTTGGCCTCACTGGATGGAAGTAATAGACTGAAATTGCAGACAGTAATTTTTAGATTTCAGGGAAAACTTCCTGATGTTCAGGATATTAAGTGATGGAATGGATTGCTTTGGGAGTAAGCAGAAAACAGCTTGCTCTCAGAAGTAGAATGAGCAACTGCTGTCTTGCATAGCACATCTGTGGTGGCTGTGGGTGGGGAAATTAAACTGACTTCTCTTTGAAGTGCTCCTTCTGTAAAGAGAACCTTTTCCAAACTGCCTTAAATGATTCTTCTTCAAATTTTGTTTGTGAGGAAGTGTAGGTAATCTCCATCACAGCAACACTGCGTGCAAAGATGGTGGGAATAAAGCCTGTTAATTTGAATAGCAAATTAATGGGAGGCTTTCCAGCCTGTTGTGGGAAAGAGACAGTGGTGGAGATGATTGCACATAAGCAACTTGACTTTTTGGAGCTGTGTGCTTCGGGCACTCCCCACTACAGACCTGAGCAGCCATCTGCTATTGTGTCATGGTTTAACCACACTGTCCTGGGAGGACCTGGTCCTGGGTCATGGTGTGGCATCACTGCTACTGCTGAGCTACTATCAGGATGCTTCTCATTGCAGCTGTGTTAGGGATGATCGTGGACCCATGCATGGCACTGCACAAAAGCAGTCCTGCCGTGTAGGAGAGAACGGCTGGGATACGTGATGTTGGGCTCTAGGTGCAAATAGCAGTTACCTGGCTAATAAGGGCAAAGCTGTGATTTTTGGCTCTGCAGGTGAAGTAGTATTTTTAAGTGCTTTTCAAATACATCTATTTAAAGCAGCCTGAATTAGAGCCCAAGCTGCTTAAAATCCACGCAAATGAATTGTAATGGAAAAGCTGTATTCAAATAATGCACTGTTGTTGCCAAGTCTTTAAAGTCCAGCCACTGAATTAGTGGTGGCTGTTGTTGCAGTCCCTGGAACCAAAGTTTGCTTGAAGAGCTAAATCAGTATTGACAGTAGTGGTCTACAGGTGCAGAGAGGAATCAGAAAGCTTAGAGTTGCAGGTACTCTGATTTTCCTATTCAGTGCACAAATAAAATGGGAGGAAAAGGACTAAAAGCTGTCCGTTCTGATTGTTGGAGCCGGTGATGACTCAAGCAAGCAACTTGGTTGGGTAATTCACTTGCTAATCTGGTTTGATAAGGCAGTTTTTACACAAAGAGTTTGCACTATAAAAGCAGTCTTACTCATCAAAAGTTTATTGTATGTAAGTAAAAAAAGCAGCAGTACGATGGATTCTTGTTCATTTTAATGAAGTTCTGAGTTGCATCCAAATGAAATTTGGAGTAAGATCTGGATAAATTCATAAATAATAATTAGAAAACCGTGGTTTGTAATGTACAAATGCAAATATATACATACACACAAATATGGTAAGTAGTATAATCATTTAAATATGTAGGCATAGAGGTTAGCCTCCTGATTAAACAGCTGATATCACGATGATGAAAATGCCTACCCTGGTTATAAATCAGTATGGCTTTGGAGTTGATGAGCATCTGTTTTAGGGAAAATAAGTACAAAATAGCATAACTATAGAAGAAGTCAGATCAGGAGTATTTTCCTTTCTCCTGATTTAAGGCCATTTTGCTCTCCTTAGGAAATGATATTTCCCCACTTTCCTGATCTTTTCTTGACTTGCTGAGCGCTGTGTTGTTTCCCTTACCCCCTTGTGATTTCTTATGGCAAGTCTGCACTGCCACACCTAATTCTAATTCTACTTTGTAGCTGCCTGATTTCAGTTCCTGTTTTTCCATCCTTTCTACAAGTTCTATTCAGGTACCCCTTCATCCTGCTGTGTTAATAAACTTGCAGTTTTGCTACTTCTGCCCTTGGGGTTTTAGCACTGACTTGCCAGAGGCTTGCAGATTCATCAGCACCCAAAGGTAGAACATGTGTTAAAGGAAATGGGAAGAGTTGCCTTGGCTGTATTAATCCACAGGGCCTGTAAAAACTGGTTGTAGTTGATATTCAAATATTGTTCCTTGGAGTGAATGTAGCTGCAAAGGTTGTGTCTCCATTGAGACTCACAGAACTGCCTGTTTGATCTTGACAGAGCCAAATTCCCACATCCTGGAGTTACACAATAGTAATAATAAATCTATATGGAAATGTAAGGCTGGTGTTGTATAGCTGTTCATTCAAGTTTTTAATCATAACTCCGTTCATATCTAGAGTTCAAAACGAAGTAAAATGGAGGGCGATAAACCTGAGCTGGGCAATGCTGGTTTTGATGGCATGAGTGAAGATGAGCTGCTAGCAGCTGTCTTAGAGATCAGCAAAAGGGAAGCTTCTCTGTCTCTGAGCCATGATGAGGATAAGCCCACAAGCAGCCCAGACACTGGGTTTGGAGATGATGAAATTCAGGAGTTGCCTGAAAACCTGGAAACGATGGAGACAGAAAAACCCAAAGCGCCATCAGAGTCAGGTAAGGCAAGGTAACTGCCTTAATTGTGCTGTGATGGACTAAAGAAAGTTACTGGTAGCAGTGGGCAGGTAATATTTGAGGGCAGAAGCCAGATGCAAGCATACTGCTGGAACTGTCTGAATTTCTCAGAGTTTTCTCATAGTTTCACAGTACATAAAGCTTGTAAGAAAATACGTTTTGCCATTTCAATATATTGCATGGCAGTCACTGCTGTGACAAAGGTAGGTTGTCTTCAGAGTTCATTGCCATCTTTTTCCCTCCTGATTACTGCGCACTTTCACTCCCTGCCTTACCAGACAATTCAAATTATGAAGATTTGGCAGTGTCTGGGCCCTCATCCTCTGTAATCAGCATGTGGTTACATCTCTGCAGCTGCTGCAGCCTGGGCAGTGTGGTAGCAGCGTTCAGATTGCTGAAGTTTAAGAATGATGTCTGCATTGTGTGAGACCAGAATGCTTTCGTTAATGCAGTTATTTTTTTCACTAGTTGCTACTGAATTTAACTCATCTCTGTTTTTTCTGTTGTAATACTCTGAGTGAGAGTAGTGAGCCTAGGAGACTCAGCGTGCAAATGTTTAGCCTCTGACCCAAAAACATGGTTAAGTACAGGAAGACTCTTTGATCTCCTTGTGGGGAAATTGTGGCACGTGCACACTTAATTCTCCTTCAGCTATGAGATACATGTTTTCTTGCGAATGTTTAATACCACTAGCCTGGAAAAAAAACAGGAAAACAACATCCTTTCCTTCTCCTCACAGAGCCAAGAGGTTAGGCGTTAACAAAAATACTGTTCAGAACATCAAGCTTGGTAAGAATTGTCCAGTGAAACAACTTTTATGTTGGAAGTTGGTCTCTAAGAAAACCAGATGTGTAACAGCCTTGCTTGTGCTCAACTTCACATACTTTGTTGCTATGGTTGTGAAAGGCAACTATGAAAGCCTGACAGCATAAATGTCTCTTCAGGTTTTCCTTGAAAGGTGTAATGCAATTATTTGAAGGCTGTGACACTTAAGCAGAAAGTGTGTTCAATAAGTGTCTGTAATTTCTGATTAAGAACTCAGACACGTAGCATTGAATTTGCCTTTCTGTAGTTGTGTATGGTCAGAAACACAAGTACTGTTCAAACCGTAAGGTTTGGCATTCAAACAAGATGTGTATCTTTGTATTTCAAGTTAGTAGTTATGGCAGCTGAGTGTAACACCTAATGAGTTCACAGCCCTATGTTCTATTTAAAGGAAGCTCAAAGGCAAAGGATGCCTTGCTTTATCAAACAAAGTGATTCTAATCTTTAAAGATTTAACTTTGTCCAGTCTTTTTTTTTTTAATCATTAGTAATCTTTTTTCTTTGTTCTGTATCTTTGTTTTCAAAAAACAGAGGGTAGGACCCTGGCAAGTTTAAGTAGAACAGATGTCTCTTCTGCTACAAGATCCTGAAATTAAATCAAGTATTTCTTACAGTAGAAATCTTCAAAGATCATGTAATAAATTCCGTTTTGTTATTCATCTTAAGAGGATTAGACTGATGGATTATAGTTCTGGTTCTAGTGGTCTCACGTGTAAGAGGTCATAGCTAGTAAGACTCTGTCTTGTGTAATCCTTGCCAGTAACTAATGAACAGATGTTGAAGTCTGCATAGGGCAAAACTCTAAAGTTTCATATGTTGCTGCATGATGGCTTTTGGAGCAGGTCCTAATTTTTTCAGCTGCAAGCAAATGGGAGAATGAAGTTGTCTTGCAGTGAGATGAGATGTGTGCAGTGGTTGAATGTGCACTTCAGAAATAGTCTAAGAACAAAAAATAAAAACCAAACACCTGACTTCTGACATGCTGTTTACTTTGAAGTTCAGTTGTGACGTTTTAATCTTCTTGCACTTTTAAAAGATTTAGGCAGTGTTCATAAGGCTGAATTCTTACCTGAAATAGAAGCTGACAAATGGAAAGAGTGCTTGGGTTTTGTTTCCCATCTCTTGTAGTACTCTGAGGTATAATATGCAATGCAAACCTATTTATTTATTTATTTATTTATTTATTTATTTAAATTTTTTGGTTACTTCTAGAGAAATTCAGGTGTCAGCTTTGTGGCTGTGGGAACCTAGTGGTATGTGACATCTTCCTTTTAGTTGAAGTTGCTGTTTGAGTAAGCATAAAAGAAGAGGATGGTTTCAGGGATCAATCAAATGCTTCATCCTGCACTTCTTAAAATTACAAGACACCTTTTTCTGGGGATTTTTCAAACTGTTGACATTTGTGTTTTGTTTTGTTTTTTTATGGCTGAGATCTCTTTGTCAATAGATGTCACTGTGCTGCAGGGATTGTGGTTACAAACCCAGGGAAGCATAACTGTGCTTTGCGATCCTTCAGGTCCTGCCAATTTCACTGAGATAACTAAAGACTTCGATGAGAATAAGGAAAACAAAACTCCGGAAGGCTCCCAGGGAGAGGTTGACTGGCTGCAGCAGTACGATATGGAGAGAGAGAGGGAAGAACAAGAACTTCAGCAAGCACTGGCTCAGAGCCTTCAAGAACAAGTAAGAAATAATTTGCACTCTCAAGTTACTTCCCCAGCACTGGTAAGCTGATGGCTGAAGAAAACCTTGTTCACATAGCAACTGAAAGGGGATTCTGCTCTGTGTTTGAGAGAATCTGATGTTCTAGCTCCACTCCTAGCACTGGGTAGATTTAGGCATAGTTTTGTATGTACTTCAGGAACCATACTGTATCACAGACATACAGATTTCTCCAAGCTCTCTGAGCATATTTATACATAGAGCTGTGACATTATATAAACATAGTGATAAACTGAAGTCTCACTAGCTCTCACATAATGCTCACAGGCTCACCTCTAGCTTCCCTGGATTGCCTGGAAGCCCTACAGCACATTCTGCCAAGAGTCAAAGTGAAAGAAACAGATTTTAAAGCAAAAGCTGGGGATGGCCTTACCAGCTTAAAGATGTGCCTCGTTTGGGACGTTGTTTCTGGTGATCATGGGTAGGAAATGCACAGCAAAGAGTATGGGAGCAGAGCAATGATGTGGTGCTTTTCTGTTGTAAGTTGGAAAAAGGATCTCCAATAATTCAGTCTAAAACCAGTCCTTTAAAGAGGACTTGGAAAAAAATGGAATCTTGGATTGTATGCGAACAATCTGTGTTCCACTTGATTTACAAGACTTGTAACTGTTTTCTACGTGCTTAACTGCCCTGAGGAAGAAGTAAACACTTTGTCAGATCTGTCTTTAAATAGATAGCCTTGCCTGCTCTCTTTTAATAGTAAAGCTGTCATGGTTTTCCTTATGAGATCTGATATTTCCGTGGCTCCTGGATTTTCTCTCCCATTCCTCATTATAAGATGCTTGTTGGTATGTTCTGTGCAAGATGGAGCATTGATTCAGTACCACTGAGTAGTTTGGTGAAGATCCTCAAATGCTTTAGAAAAAAGTGAGATAAAAGCCCTCATGTTAGTAATGCAAAACTGCCTTTTGTATGTTGCTCTGCTATGATTCTGAAGTGAAAATCTGCTATACTAATGAATCAGGTATGAAAATGTGGTTATCTTGGTTTGAAACATGTAGTGAGGGCTTTGCATTCAGGTGCATGGAAAGCATTCAAGGACTGAATTAAGAAGCCAGCCCAGTAAGTGTTACTGTAGCTGCAGCTCTATGCTTTTGAGAGTGCTGGGAGGAGCAGGAGCACCATGCTATTTGAAAAAATTGGAAGGACTTGTTGACAGACTTTTTTTTGCATCCTGCCTTTGTGAATTACACCTGTTACACAGAACACTGTCTCTACTTTCCAATGGCCAGAAGATAATAAAACTTGTCCAAGTTTAACAACTCCGTCTACGCTTTGTTTTGGACAGAAATCTAAACTTTGCTCCAGTGTGAAGAGCTTTGTGTGTGACAGCTTTCCTTAGCAAAGGGTTGCAAATTCATTTAGATGCTTTTCAAATTAATGATCCACTGAAAGTGTTTGGTGTTAGTGAGGGCTTGCTCTTCTGCATACCAAGCTTTAGGAGCTTTGACAAGCCTTAATGAAGGTTTGTCCCAAGTTCTGTTGGATGAGAACATTGGACTCTCACTGGTTGCAAACACTTCTTCACACGAAACCTTTAATTTACAGTGTCAGGTTTGTTGTAGAAACCAGAGCAGCACAGTTTCAATGGAAAAAGAGCACCATAAGAATTTTAAACAGTGAACTGTCTCAGTAAGCTAAGTTTCGTTCTCTTCCCATCAGGAGGCACGAGAACAAAAAGAGGATGATGACCTTAAGCGAGCTACGGAATTAAGTCTACAAGGTGAAGCTTATTTAACTTTTTCCAGTATGTTGCTTTTGAAGGAAAATAGACCTGTCTGTATGAGTGCAGCTCTTGACTCCAAGACAGCTGGGATTTCAGGCCCTTTTGATGTGTGCTCAGTTGTAGTTGGCTTTGCTCGGGTCTCTTGTTCTCAGTTGTAGAAGCAAATGGCAGGAAAAATTAAAATAAAAAATGACCTATTCTTTTGAGTTTTTAGTATGATATGTGTGTGTATATATACACAATATATACACAGTTCCATGGTCCATTCTTATTCTCATAAGAATATATATATTCTTATATATAAGAATGGACCATGGAATTGTGTTCCCAGAAACCAACATGGCTGTAGTCACAATCTAAGGATCATCAAGTTTCCGTTGGTATTTTAGAGCACGTTAATGCACTGGCTTTGCTCAAGAAAATAAGTACCCTAACTGTCTGACACAGAGGGGGAGGGTAGATAGACCCTGCTTCAAGGTATGGCTCCCAGGGAATGGAGGGGTACCCGATATACAGTCTGTCCTTCCTAAATGCAGACTGTGATGAGCCTCAAGTGCTGCTTATCATCTGTGTAGGGCTGGCAGGTGAGTGATTTCATGCAACCTGGCAGGGCAAAGCTTAACAGAGAGGAAATTCCTACTCTAAAAAGGGAGTGGGAATAGTAATAAAGCATTGTGGTAAGGTGCTCTTAGATATTTGGACGGCTTGAAAGGCCCTCAGTGATTACCAGATAAATTCATCTGCTTCTGAGGAGCAATAAGTGCTGATGTCTTTGTTCAAAAAAATAAAGTCAGTCCTGAGCAGTGCCTTGTTAATCACAGCTCCTCACCCACCCAGCACTTTGCAGCTTTAATTTAGCTGTTGAAAGCGCAGCCACTTCTCCTAATGAGCGCTGTACAAACCCTCGCGTTAGTCGGGTGGCTGCAGAATCCCAGGAAGTTAGGAACAGTGTGTACAGGGAGCTGTGGTGCCTTCCGGCTCTTTGCAAAGCGCTGCCTGCATTCTGCTCAGCCAAGCAAACTGGAAGTTCCTGTGGTGAGCTGCCTTGTTACCACTGAAAACAATGAAAAGATGCCTGCTGCCAGCAGCAGCGATTGGATGCCAGTTTAAATTGAAAAATGTACTTTGTTAATGCAATTATAGTTTAAAACTGTAATTCATAGCTTCTCCTTGCCCAGCTTGTAGTTCCCTGACCCAACTGGCCCTGCTGCTCTCAGGTTTGGGTCTGGCTTCCTGCTCTGGAGCGAACCGGGTGTTTTCCGGGTGTTTGGATTCTCATGCAGTGTTGTTGTTTCTGTGCTGTTTAGAGTTTAACAGCTCTCTCCTGGACAGCGTTGGCTCTGATGAGGACTCTGGGAATGAGGATGTGCTTGACATGGAGTACTCAGAAGCTGAAGCAGAAGAGCTGAAAAGAAATGCTGAGGTGTGGTCTATGATTCCAGATGTTAACTGAGAAATACAGCCCCTTCTTTGCCATAGGGTCAGTGTTAGATGGTTTTAAAGAGTTCCTTCCTGATGAAAAGGGAGAAGATAGAAAAATACTCAACAATAAGGGTCTGTTCTATTCTGTTTTTAAAAATAATAATAAAAAAAAAAGTAGCTGCAGAGAGACCCCTCTGACCATCTGTAAGATATGGGTAATGATGGAAAGGAAACAGTAATTTTACATGGGGAATGTTCTAGTGGATGGAGCTCTGGACTCCATGCAGCAGTGCCTGTGCCTCCTTTCTGGGGGAAGGCTGCATAAAGTGACAAAGGTTAAGACTTATAACTGAACTTACCTCGAATAGTTCTTATTTTCTTACAATTCTTCACTAATTTTCTTAAACCAAGAATGGAGTTTCAAAGCGTTGCCAGTGAACTGCATCAATCAGGTATCCTGGTCTGAGAGCTTGAAGCAGTAATTACCGAAAGCCAGTCTGCATCATTTAGTTTTTTGTTCAGTGAACAGGCAGAGTGTCTCTTTTGCATGCAGGGAGGGCATTACCTGCTGATATTGCAGGTGCAGGGTGAGAGTCTGAGCCCCATATCTGATGTTAGCTATTAAATCTGTATGTTGTTATCCTTTATCAAGGATAAAGCTTTAATATTTCAGATGTAAATGTGCTGTTCCCTTTTTGCTTATCTGTGTTTATTTGGTGGATTGATTCTGACATCAGTGGAAGCTGCTTAGGAAGTGGTTGTTTAGAGAACTTTGTGGAGTAGAGCTCATGTCAGCATCTGTTCTGAGGTCAGAGTGACTGCTTTGCTTTTTTTTTTTGGCTTTTTTTTTTTTCTTGCTTGCTCAAGGATCAAATTAAAGTCAGGAGCTTTTCCCCACTTCTTGAAGGACTCTCCCATTGGTGTGAGCCAGGGTGTCTGTTGCTGTAATCCTTTTGTAGCCAAAGCTCCTATCTCAGGTATAAATCACCATGTCCATAGGTTACATGGGACAAAAGTAAATACTTAGACTCTTTAATTGGACCTTGTTTTTAGACAGGAGAGCTGCCTCACTCCTATCGCCTCATCAGCATTGTCAGCCACATTGGAAGCACATCATCTTCAGGTAAAAGACACTGTGTTTTATTTGTCTCTTATTGAGATTAAAAATCTGCAAGACAAAATTACCATATGAGGGTGATTTGTAGAGAGGAGTTTGGTCTGCAGGAGCAGACAAAATAAAAAAGCAGCTCTTTAATTGTGGGTTGCGGGCAGTGAAGTGGGGTGAGGGTGTCACTGCGCCTATATGAGGCATCTGGGCTCAGTGCTGGCTATGGGATCTGTGGCACTGCTGGTGCTTATCACTAGCTCACTGGCCAGCAAAGGCAGAGCATGCAGGGTCTTAGGGATGTTTTAGCATTTTAAATCTGACGTGGGTTGTCTGAGCAAACCAGCTTACTGGCTGAAGTGCAGCATGAAAAGTGTTCTGTGTTTTCAAGGTCACTATATCAGCGATGTCTATGATATCAAGAAGCAGTCCTGGTTCACCTACAATGATCTGGAGGTGTCTAGAACTTTAGAAGCCACTGTCCAGTGTGACAGAGACCGGAGTGGCTACATCTTCTTCTACATGCACAAGTAGGTGGCCTGGGGCATTCTGGTACTGCTTGTGATAGCAGACCTCTGTTCTGCTTTGATGGGGTGAGGAGTGTCTCTGTATGTGGGTCAGAACACATTAGTCAAAATTTTATGCAGGAATGACAAATACAAGTACAATAAGTTCATTATTAATATTACATGTCACTAGCATACAGTATTTTAACAAGGTACCTTAAATCATCTTTTGAAAAGCTGAATTTGGTGTTTCAGCCGTTCATTATTTGCACCAAGAATCACAATGGAGTTTGGATTTTGTCCTTACTTGCTGTAAGATTTGTAAATGCCCTTATCCGTGCTTCTAGTGGTTGTGTTGCTGCAGCCATGGTCATCTCAGGACATGAGCAAGATGAGATTTGTAGATAGAAGTAATACTTTATCAGGCACACAACTGAGGAAGGGCTTTTGTAACTCAGTTTGCTCCCTTTGTATGTGTTTTCTGGTCCCTGTAGTAAAAGATACTACATTATCTCTGCAGACTGCGTCTTGTGTTCCTTCAGATCCTATTACTAGCCTGCACTTACTTTAACTGTTGTTACTGTTCTCTGGGGCTTACCAGTGGTCTTATTCATTGTAACAAATGGAAAGAAAATGCTTGGGGATTCAAGGAGCCTTTCTGAGAAATGCCAGATAAGACACCTTTCTCTACCGAGCGCTGTGACGCTTGAGCTTTGTGGATTAAATCCAGTTGCTGATTCCCTCGGGGCTGCCTCGCGTAGCAGTTGCTTGCTGTACGTGAGTTTCACTGTTGCTCTTCCTCTGTGTTTTAGGGATATCTTCGATGAATTACTAGAAACAGAGAAAAGTGCACAGCCACTTAGCGTGGAAGTAGGCAGATCGATCCGTCAGCCGCTGTGAGGAGTCCAACACCTCGTACCTCTTGAGGAGCACAGAAAATCCTGAACTTGTGCCAGACATGCAGGAGTAACAAACAGCTCAGGGCCAAAACAACAGACACATGGTAGAAATACGGATGCTCACATTTTGCACAACCATCTGTGCAAGTCTTCGGCCCGAACCACAGTTGTCAACCTTGACATCCCGGAGCGATGCTCCTGTGGTGAAGTTTTTATTGTTCCTCAAACGATTTTGTCAGCATGGAGCCTTAAAGAGTTGCATCAAGCCACGAGACTACAGCTGCTCACAGACTGATTTAAAAGGAAAAATGTGCAAAAAGAGACTCATCTTCAAAAGCCCATTCACCGGCCAGATGTGAGTGGGGAAGATTTACATATCACTTGGCTCTTTTTTGTTGGGTTGTTGTTTTTTTTTTCCTTCTCCAAAACTGGTTTAAGCAATAGATTCTGTTAGCTGGTGTGTGTTGTGTTGGTGATTTTCACTGGCAGCCCAGCTCCCAGGGTAAGCTCTCAGCAGTCATCTCACTGTGCAGTTGCTGAGCTGATGTGTTTTGACATTGGTGGGTTTGTAAGCTCTCTGCTGGTGACGTGCAGTTCCAGGAAACAAACTCTTGGTGCTGTGGAATGTATTGCATACCTGGTGGCAGCTCTGTCTCTTTGATGCCATTCACTGTCATCCTCTTTTAGTGGTGAGATTATACATGTGATTTATTTTACAAGCATTATTATTTGATTGTGTTCTCTTTGCTACATTGTTGTGTAAGTTTGGAGAAGAGAGGTGTGCAGTGTTCCTCGCTGAAGTTACGTTGCTTAGGGCTTGCTTTGATGTAACTGACCCAAGCTGCTGGGTGACACCTGGAGCAGGTGGAGAACAGGAGCTGAACCGCAGCTGCTTTTTCATCTTGCCTCATTCTGTGCAGCCGAGAATCATCGTGAAATGGAAACGATGGGAAGAAGGCAGGGCCTGCAGCGCCTTGCTTGCCACTCTTTGCTTGAACAGTGGTCTTTCTTTGGTCTTCCCTCATCCCAGGTGCAGAAAAAGGGATTTCACTGCAGCTCTGTGGCTGTTCTTACTGAGGAGTGCAGAGTGCTCCAGCTGTGTGACTAAAGCAGGTGGAAAGCTTTCAGGAAGCTCGTGTTCAGTGCTAACAGAACAGTTTGGGAACATGTTTAATGAGGCTAGCTCCAAGATACTCATTTTAGAGCTTGTTTCAGCAGGGAGAAAAAAATGCCTATCGACTTAATTTTTTTTTTTTTTTTTTAGCACCTTGGCACTTATTTAGCAGGGGCAGATGTTTCCTTTTGCTGGCATCTACTTACTTCAGAGAAACTGTTGCTATTAAGCAGAGTAGTTGATCTTGTTTTGGCCTCTAGCTCTGTTTTTTGCAGCTTGAGTTTTAGAGGTGAAAGACTTCTTTAAAAAAAAAAAAAAACACACAGAAAATACACTTTTTGCTGTCAAGATAGTTTCTGGGTTTTTTAAACTATTGTTAGGAGTTTCTCAGGAATAAATCAGCTGAAGCAAAGCAGGCAGAACCATCTGTGCATAACTGACAGCAGGCACCTCTTCTCGTGGGCACTTCCGTACCAGGGATCGTCCCAATGGGCTGTTATGGGGTGCTGCTTCAGTGACCTCTCCTCCCCTCTGTGTGCAGCAGTGAGGGGCAGCAGTGACAGCCCTTTAGGGAGTGAAAAGCCCCAGCGACCTCCTGGTCCCTGCATTAGGTGGGCAAGGCCAGGGTGAAATCTTTGTGGTTTCAAAGGGAGGAGTGAATGTTTGGTTGTAACCACAAGCTTGTGAGATGCAGCCGAAGCAGTGTACGTGTTAATTTATTACAAAGCATTATACTTTTCTATTGTTAGTCCTGATTTTGGTAGGATTCTGGGTGATGGGAAGATGAGGTGAGGCACGAGGTATCCTTTGAACCCATCGCTCCAGCCCCTGGACAAGTGATGAATTGCTCCATCCAGGAGGCAGATGTTTTCCCCAATTTCCTATGCTAGTGCTGTACATAACTAATGGTGTTCCTGCAGGATCAGCAGTCAGCTCTCCTTTCTCAGGACGGTTCTGAAGGCACTGTGCTCCGTTTAATTTATAATAAAAGCAAACATTGCCCAAATTCCCAATGCGCTAACTTTTGTTTAAAACCGTTTTTTGCTTGGAATGAGGTGAGAAGGCTGATGCTTGAATCCAGCAGTGCATGTTCCATGAAAACAAAGTCCTTGTTTATTATTGTAGCCAGAAAGAATTTGCAAACATCTGTGAATTACTTCAAGCTTTTTTTGGCACATGGCGGCTTGGTGGCATGTCACCCTGGCAGCAGGGGCTGCAGAGCCTCTTCCTTGCTGCTGCTGAGCGGTGGGGGATGGGGGGTGAGCAGCCCTCTGTGCTCAGACCTTACTGGCACAGCAGAACACTCAGCTTCTCCCTGTCCTGGCTTGTAAGTGGGTAGAGAATCTCAGTGGCAGTCCCCTAATGTGTGCAGGCTTCTGGCGTGGGCTGCTCCAGAGAGGAAATGACTTTAAAGCCCTGCAAACACTCCCAGCCCTTAGCACAACAGCAGCTGTTTGTGCAGGCACTTTGCTGCCAGGGCATAGGGCTCTTTGGTGCTGAGTGGGGATGGATCAGGACTGACTGTGTGCAGCAGTGACAGGTCTGACATGTTACAAACCCTTCTTTGGCTTTTCCTCAGCTCGGCAGAATTGTGGTTAAACATTGACCTGCTCCTGAATCAGCTTAGGGTAGTCAAAATGTGATTCAGCACGCAAACCCAAGGAACTGCCATCTTGCTTTTCCTCCCTTCCTGCATTGTATGACTGCGATGATCCACGTTTGCTCCTCTGATAGATGTGAGAACGCTCGTGTCGGTGGACCGGAGCCTGTGCAGAGCAAGGACTGACTGGAGCAGCTTCATGAGGAGCAGGGCTCTGAAGCTTGTGACTGTGCCATCACCTTCCATTTCTGCTCAGCACTGATGATAAATGCCTGCTCACCTTCCCTCCCATCCTGTGCAGCACAGTAACTGGGGTGCGTGTCCAGCACACTGCCCACAGCAGTCAGCGTTGCTGCGCTTCACCCTGACACCAGGCATGTGGGGACTGTGTGCTGCAGTGATGGAGGAGTTGAGGAGACTGGGAAGAACTCAACTGTTCTGTTTTCTTTTCATGGAGCTAAGTATCCCTGTAACTGCCTGCCAAAGAGAGATAAAGGAGTGTGGGACCCCAGTGCTGCTGGGGTGCTGAGGGATGTGCAGCTGAGGACCTGCTGCAGAGCCACCCCATCCCAGGGTTGATATCTGCCTGCTTGCAGCCTGACTTCTGGTTCTTTACACTGTTGATGTGGAGCAGCTTTTCTCTGTGTTTTAGCAGACCTGTTCCTCTCTTATTCTTTACAGATTTTGCTCATGTTTCCCTCCCCCTGCCTTTTAAACAATGTGTAGATAGATTTTTTTTTTTTTTTTTTTTTTTTTTTGTGAAATTAAAACCTTTATTAGCCCTCTTTTGGTTTGAAATCTTGTTGCTGCCTGTCCCAGTCCATCTGACAGCACTCTAAAACCCTTGTAGGGCATGAGCTGCACCCCCCGTCGCTGCCTCTGTGACTCTGCTCCCCTATTGCCCCCCCCCCGGGCCCTGCCCCATGCCTGCTGCCCCTGTGCTTCCCGTGCCATGGCTTGTCGCTTTTACCTTTGATACTGCCAACTATTTACTGAGTTTTATGCATGAGTTCACTGATAACAGAGGGAGTGCCCTGGGGCTGTGTATGAGACCTTTAGTCCTGAGCTGCAGGTGCTGGGGTGGGCAGAGAAGCACACAAAGCCCCATTCCGAATCCATTTTATTTAGTAAAAATAATGTGCTTGCTTGGGATGGCTGTGGGCTGAGCCTCCCCTCCTAGAAGAGTCCTTTCTCCTTCTTGAGATTCTGCTGTTTCCACAAGGGCAAATTGGCAAAGGCAGAGCGGGTCATACCGAAAACAGCCATGAAGTCCTCGTCGGAGAGGTGATTCTGGGGAAGGAAAAGCCTGAGCTCAAGCCACAGGGCTTCCCCCAGCCATGGCCTCCTCAAGCCCCCCCAGCTCACCTCCTTCCTGCTGGGATCCACGCCCCGGGGCAGGTCCTCAGCTGCAGTGTTCACCAGCACATCCAATGGTAAGATCTCCAGCTTGGTGGGGACGAGTGTGGTGGTGGCTGTGAAGATCTCATTCTTGGAAGTGAGCCCCTGGTGGGGAGGGACAAGGTCACATAATGGACAGCTACCAGGCTGCCTTCTAGGGGACTGACACCTTTGTCCCTTCACGTGAAAATGTTCTTGCAGCTTCTTGTGCCGCCTGCCAAAGGCACCAGTAATCCCTTCCCCTGCTGCCGTGCCATGTGTTACTCAGGGTCCCCTCTTGTCCCAACTCTTCCTATGACACTCACTGACACGAGGTGCCCAATGCTGGCGTTGTCCCCCAGCTCAGCTTTCAGCTCATCATAGGATTTCTTGTCCTGCAGGAACAGAATTGCTCAGCTGGGGCTACATCCAGTCTTGTCCCCATCTCCAGAAGTCTCCTCGCTACTTCCAGCCCCCAGCCCCTGACTCACGTTCCAATAGAGGGGATCCCAGGCCATGAACCAGCCGGTAAAAGTGGGGGGCTCGTAGCCCTGCTTCACCACAATGATGGGGGTGTCGAGGTCACGGCTGCCAGGGTGGCTCTGCAGGTACTCCTGTGCTGTCACTGCTGCAGACTCCTTCTCTGACTCATTGGCACCTTTCCCGATCCAGAAGAAAATCTGCAATGGGGCCACCATGTCCAGCACTGGGCTGGCCCTTCACCGGTGGCTGGGGACACAGAATCTGTCCCCAAGGATGGGTGCTGGGAGCCCATCCTCAATGAAAACCATGTGGATTGGGTTTCCATGCTCCCATCCCACCACCTCCGGTTGCTGCAGGTCCTTCATCCTGTTGGGGACATGAGCTTGTCCGCAACAGGACAAGTCCTTCCATCCCCTGCACACCTGGTCCCAAGTGTCCAGCAGGTAAACGTCATTCTCATCCAGATCATCCTGGGTGAAGTTGACAATCTCAGTGGCCAAGAACCTGCCTGTCTTGTTGGAGCATTCAAAGAGCCGGGGTGGCACAGAGAGATTCTCCTCCTGTAGCCTGGTGGGGAGACATGGTTGTGATGGCAACTGGCCAAGGAACTGGGGGCACTAGGAGAATCCATTGAGGGGCTGGGGACACAGAGCTCGTACCTCTTGCTGTTGGCATAGCTGGTCTTGCCGCCCAGAGCTACCCAGAACTCGGGTGGCTCCTGCCCTTCAGCGACCACCAGTTTTTCAGTCTTGGAGATGATGTCAGCCACCATCTTGCCCATCTCACGCTCATCCCCGCTGCAGCCCTACAGTGTGAGCGGCACAGCTCCAGCACTGAGCCCACCCCAACCCCTGGAGGACAAGGAGGAAGAGGAGCTGGTCGAGGCCGTACCCACCTTCCCATACCAGAGGTAGCAGCAGCCGGGTGTCTTGAGCACAAAGACATCATTGGAGTTGAGAGAAGCAGCTCGAACAGGTGTTTCGAAGGCCTTGGTGTTGTACTCATTGGTGCCGTGCACGTGGAAGAGCCGAGTGGAGGATGCCAGTTCTGTGTTCCCTGCCCTCAAGGAGCCATTCTGGGGACAGTGGGGATAGGAAGAGGTCACACAGCCACCAGTTTGCCCACCCTGCCACCAGCCCCGTGCTCACCTCGTACACCACCATCTTGCCCTTGAAGATGGCCATCAGGTGGGCCGGCTCCTTGCCCATGGTGACGCGCACCTGCACGGGCTCGTTGTTGTACTTCTGGTCCAGGATAACAGCTTGGTAGGCCGAGGCGGCCAGATCCTCCGTACTGGCATGGCGGCCCTGCGTCAGGACATTCTCTCTTTGGGAATGTAGGCGGGATGGGAAGGCCGTGGAGGGGCAGGGAATGACCCACAGGGGATTTGTGCATGGGGCCTTCTGGTGGGTAGCCCTGTCCTGCACTGTCCTGCTGAGGATGAGCCCTGGGTAGGGGACAGGGACTCACCTGCCAGATGTAGATGATGCGGTTCACCTTGGACCCCACATAGTAGGTGTAGAGCACCAGGTAGCAGTCCCCGCCGTAGAAATGGCCCAACCACCGCTTCTCCACAGGCGCCAGCTCCCCGTTCTCCACCCGCCAGACCTGGTGGGATGGTGTCACACTGCTTTCCTGGCCCCACAGCACATGCACTCCCATGGCATCTTCCAGCGCGGCGCATGGATTTATTCCACCTCCTTCCCACAGCCTACCTCTGCCTCCCCAGATCCATCATCCACCATCTTCTGCTGGGCAGCCACTTCAGGCTTGGCGTGCATTGTGGTGGCATCAAACTTCACCTGCTCCACCTTGGCTGCAGGGAAGAGTGAGGACTGAGCCAGGCTTGGGGACCCCCTTCAGCATCCCTCCAGACCTCTGGGACCAGCACCTTGTGGCACTCACCCACTTTGCCCACAGCATGGGTCTTGCCCAGCCCACTGGTTTGGTTGGGAACAGTCCATTTTTGGAAGAGCTGCCTGAAGAGAGCGGACTCAGACCCATCATTTTCCGTCTCCACGCTGGTGCTGGACGGGTAATTCTTGGCTTTGATGAAGCCCTGAGGGGAGCCAGATCCAGTACCTGGACATGGAGTACCCAGTCTCTCTCCTCGGGAACAACAAACCCAAACCACCACCGCAAGCACTCACCAGGGCCCTGCTCATTGCCTGCTGCTTCTCCTCCTTGCTGGCATTCCTTCCCTTCCACACAAAGATCTTGAGACCAGCTTGATCAAGGATGTAGCAGTCCTGGGAGGGGAGGATGACAGCAGGCATTAGAACTTAGGGTAGCTTCGATCTTTCAAAAGGCACTTGGGTGGGCACTTGAGTTAAAGCTGCCAAGGAAAATGGGCACTGCTCTTGAGCATCTCACCTCATGCTGGAGCATGTCTTGAGTCAAGGGGCGAATTGCTATCTCTTGTATGACCAGGTTCCCACTGGCATCAGAGACACTGGTGGACACAGAGAGAGGAGAGAAAGGTAGAAACAGTTCTGAAAAACATCTTCCCCAGCGCCATATGGGGGTGGTGGGCGCAGCTCCATTTCCATCTCTATCTCCATCACTTTCTTTGCCATCATCTCCATTCCCACTGCCACCCCAAACATGGAAGAGCTGGTGAGGGACAAGGGGATGTCAGATCGGATGGGGACAGTCAGCTCTACTGGGGACATGCCTCTGTGTTAGAAAGCAACCGTGACATTTGCATGAGCATCTCAGTACTAGCTGTTAGGTACCAACCCCTTTGGCACTGGGGGATCCCAGTGCTCCTACAGCACCCAAAGGACCTGTCCCTCTGTGGTGGCTTCGTCCCTTCTCCCTTGCCATCCATAGGGATGGGACTTGTGAGACTCCCTGCTGCCAACATCATGGTATCACCCTGACACCTCACACCCGTACGAGATGCCTCCATAGATACGGCCCATCCCCAGCAACTCACTGGTACAGCTTGAGGGCACTGTTGAGCGCCTGGTGCACTTGGTCATCGGCTGTGGCTGCCTTGATGTTCTTCTTCTCCCCCAGCACATATGTCAGGACCTGCATCAGCTCAGGTGAGGCCCCCTCATCCTCACCTTCCACCACACCAACCTTCGCACGTCCCGCACGCTCTCGGTCCCGAATGTCCTTGGCCAGGGTCATCGCCTGCACCCAGGGAAAGGATCAGAACGGTGAGGTCCCAGCATGGGGGCTGGAGGCACCGAGCAGCCGGATCCCGCCATACCCCCAGCCTCTCAGCACGATTGCTCTCAGGGCCGTTCCACTGGATGATGAGCTGGCCAAGGTCCAGCAGGAAGACGTCACCCAGGTTGAAGCTTTTCCAGCTCATCTCCACCTGCAGCAGGACAGAGTGGGTCAGGCACACACAGCCTCCCTGCTCAGCAATCCTCCCACCAGGGTCTGCACTGCTCCCCATTCTGCTTGGGGCTTTGTGGGGTGACCACATCCCCTGTCTCACCTCTGCAGCCACCACATTCTTCTTGCCCTTCACATGCAGCAGGCGCTGGACGTTGTAGGTGTTGGTCTCCACGTGCTTCATGCCTGAGGCAACCCCACCCTGCTTATAGCTGAGAGGACATGGATATGACATAAGCCTTGGGCCACGCTTCCCACTCCAGCAAGGATCTTCTCCTGCCCATATGCACGGCAACCACTAACATTATTGGTATGAGTAATTGACAGAGTGAGACAGAATCCAGGCCAACATCCCCCCTTCCCAGAGTAGAGATGTTCCCATGGGGTCATAAAATCTTTAGGGTTGGAAAGACCTCTAAGATCATCCAATCCAAACATCAACCTATCCCCTCCAAACCACGAAACCATGTCACTCACAATGTGACATCTATGCTTTTCTTGATGCAGAGGGAGCCTTCCCATTGCCACTGTCACAGAGACCCTTCTGGCAAGGCAGGAAGGATAGCCATGGCAAGCAACAGAACACCCATGTTGGCAACTTACATGAGTCCCTGCTTGAAGTACGCACGAAACGTTTCGCTCTCATGGCCCTGGACCTCACGGTGCTGCACAGCCACAGAGCCCAGATGGTCGTCCATCTGCGTGGTGTAGATGGCGGCTGCCCCCTGCTCGTCCTGACTTGAGTTCTTACCCAGCCAGTAGTGGATGTTGTAGCTGAAGCTGCTCCCAGTCTTACGTGTCTGCAGGATGGGGAACCCGCTAGGAGCCGTGCACCCTGTGTCCCCAGGTCTGGGGCACCCCACAGCACCCTAAGTCCCTACACAGCCCTACCGACAGCAGCACATAGCAATCCCCCTCGTAGAAGTTGCCATAGCTTTTAGTGGGCACTGGCACCATCTCCATGTTCTGTAGGAAGAAGGTACACGTGAGCAGGGCAGCCCGCAGGGGTCCTAAACCCAAAGCCTCCCACATCCACAGGACCCACCTCGATTCTCCATATCTGGATGCCCGGCGTGGTCTTGTCCAGCTTCCCGGTGACCTTTTTGCTGAGCTCCACCATGGTGCTGGCTGCAGGCAGGGGGACCTGTTGCCGGCACCCTTGTTAGGGTTAACAGCAGGCAGCCTCATTAAGAGCTGGGCTGCAGCCATCTGCTGTCCTGCAGCCAGCCAGGCAGTCAACCCCCCTGAAGCCATGGGGGGTGAATGGTGGCTGTGGACACGTGAGCAGGGTGCAACCCCTCCCTGGTGGTGAGTGGGGGTCCTGGGCCATGCCAGGTGTGTATGGGAGCAGGTAACCGTGGTGTCCTGCTGTCCACATGTTCCCATATCCTCCCCTGCTTCCTGGGCACAGGGCCAGGCTTTGTGAGCCATTCCTCCTCCTGCAGAGCCACACCTGGGTGACACTTCAGTGGTCCTTCTCCCTTTGTCCTTGCTCATGGCATGGGCATCACATCCTACATGGGTGTGTATGCACATCCATGGATGCGCAGCCTCCACGACCCCAACACCACATGCCCTGTGCTGCATTGCTGGGCCATGTCCTCCTCCCGATCCCCCCACTGCCTCTGAGCCCCAATGAGACAGAGCCCCTTGTGAACCCCAGCAGGTCTCTTCTCCCCACCCCCATCCCAGTGCCACCTACAGCATTGGCACTGGGATGTGCTGTCCCCTCATCCCCAGCCCCTCACCTTCCCCGCAGAGCTGAGCACAAGGTGCGTGTACCTAGGGGAAGTGCTGGGGTGCCAGCAGAGAAGAGACCTTTGTCCCCAGCTGTCCCAGCCCATGTTCACCATATAAGGGCAGGAAGAACCTTGAGTCAAGGTCCTCACATCCCTCAAGGTTCCCCCTCAGAGCCCCATTACTCTCAGGGTAGTGACACCTGGGTGGCACCCACTTCCCATGGCACTGAGCCACCACGATCCCCAACCCATGCATGGGGAGGGGACAGGGCAGGTCCCAGTGGCCATGTCCCCATGGGAGATGGGGACCGAGCAGGCTGCAGAGATGCTCCCAATCCCAACCATGGGGGATCCAAAGCAACCAAAACCTATGGGGCCATGTTGGAGCCACCTCCAATGGCTCCAACCACATAGAAAGGTGCAGTTGTCCCATTTGTCCTACCCAGCATGGGGCTGCCAGCATGGGTTGGATCCCGCCTGCAACTACCCACTTTCTGTTTCATTCCATGGCTTCTCTGTGTGCCAAGGCATCACCAGCCTGGTGCTGGGGATCCCCATGGGTTGGACTGGATGTGGCCAGAGGTCCCTCAGTTGGAGCAGAGAGTGGCCAGAGAGAGGACACCTTGGGGACTAGGGACTCTCCAGCATAGTCAGAATCAGAATACAGTTGTTCTGAAACTCCTCCAGCAACAATTGGTGTTCTGAGGCTGAGCTATCCCTAGCCCTTTCATCCTTGCCCTTTTCCACCCTAATTCTGCCTGATAGCATTTGGGTGGCTCTGGAGGTGCAGGAGGGGCTGTGGAACGCTGGCACCAAGGCGTCACCTATCCCACGTTTATCACAGCACTGTCACAGCATGATTGCCCCCACCCTGCTGAGCCAGCACTGTGCCACCAGCGGCACCCTGTGCCCTTGCAGCCCCAGGGATCACCAGAGGGATAGTGATGGCTCAGCCACCCAACAAGAGACTCCCGAGGCCAAGGAGGTGGGCTCCCCAACACCTTCTATCCCCCCAAATCCTCCCACCCCACAGTGCAGTCCCACACCAGTGCCCCCTTACCTGGGTTCGCAGCCCCCGCTTGCTGCCTGTGTCCCGTTGGTGTGGCACAGGGGACAGCAGCAGTGAGCCCCTTCCTTGGGCCCCACGCAGGGCCACTAACGAACTCAGCAATTAGCACAGCTACCGGGGAGGAGGACAGAGGCTTCATTAAGGAGGAGAGGCGTGGGGCCAAAGAGGGCACTGGTGGCTGTGCTGGGGAGGCACCCAAACCCCTCTTATGCCCTCCCCCCGAGTGCTGGGGGCTCTGGTACCTTAATGAGTATGGGAGCACCCACAGTCCCCCGCAGCACCCAATGAGACCCAAGCAGGAGTCCCTGCAGTGGGCATATGCATTGCATATGGGGCTTGCACACACCTACGTACAGCAGAGAGGTGTGCACGATGCACACCTGCATGCACACACAGACCACGATTGCATACACATGTGCACACACACAGCTCAGCACAGCCCATTTCCAGGAGGGTTGGACAGCTTTAATCACACCAAGGCACTTACTGGTCCCCAGCCCCCCTGCCCCCACGCCCCCAACTCCAGCCCCCCTCCCCCTGCACACCCAGGGGTGCATCCATGGGTGCTGCCTGATGTGGCCAATAAAGTGCTGAGTGGGACCCCGCTGCAGGAGCAGGGTGCAGGGTGGGGGGCATAGGCAGAGCCGGGGGGGCCCTCACCCTGGCCCCCAGCATTTGGAGAAGGGCAGCACCGCAGGGGCCGGACGGACAGTAACGGAGAGTTAAAAAGCCCTCCCCCAAAAGATTCCCCCATTCCCTGGCACAGCGGTAAAAAGGCACCCTTGATTATTTGGGAGACCGTTGCTTTTCTCCCCTTAAAAATACATCATTGTCCATAGATTGACTCTAAAAGATATGCTCTCCCTCCATTTAAAAGTCCGCCCCCCTCCCTGAGAGCCCTCCATCCCCTCGAGGCTGGGAGACCACGGCAAGGGGGAGGGGGGCAGGGTTCATGTAAGGCCATGGAGAGGTGGGGGGGGTGGGACATTACATTAAGGCTTCTATGGGCCACCCCCATTGGGAGTCACAGCCTTTGGTGACACTGAGAAGGGATGGGGATAGAGGGCGTGTGGCCCCCCCCACAAGGCAGGGGAACCCTGCTGGTGAGTGGAGTGGCCCCATTGCCATGGAGGCACTGTGGGAGGGGAGTGGGGGTTTGAGGCCACCAGAATTCCCACCCCCGTGGGAAGAAAGTGAGGTTGGAGGGGGTGATTTTGTATCCCTTCCCCAGGCACCTCTATTGCAGGGGGGACACATACAGACATGGCGTCCCAAGGCACATGGAGGCATTGAAAACCAGGGGCTCAGCCTCCCCAAAATGCACCCCTGGAGGTGGGGAGGGGCCACCAGAAGGCACAAAGGGGTGTGTGGAGTGGTGCCTCCCCAAAGTTATCAGCTGCACAGAAGGCAGAGCTGGGGGCACGGCAGTGACACCAAGACCAATGGGACCCAAACTTGGGCTGCCAGTCTCCCCATTGGACTAAGACTGTGGGGACCAGGTTCCCCCAAAAGGCAGTGGTAAGCAGCAGCTGCTTAACTCCCCTCCCCACTGCAGGGGATGCAGAGGGGAAAAGGACCTGAGAACCATTTTGGGGAGGGGGGGGGCAGCGAGAGGACGGGACCCCTCCAAACATGTCCCCAGCGGGTCACCCCGGGCACCCCTTCTGCGTGGAGCACCCACCGTGACCATCACAGCGGGGAATGGGAAGGTGATGGGGGGACACTGGGAACCCCGCAGCCCCCCAGTGATGCTGCCACCGGGCCACCACTGCCGGCCACGCTGGGGCACCACTAGCTGTTAGTCCGCTGCTTCTTGAGCACTGTGTAAACGTCGTCCACTTTGCTGAGTCTCTCGAAGAAGGGCAGCAGGTCCAGCAGCTCCGTGTCTGCCATGTTGTCGAACCATGAGGCCACCGGCACCTGCGGGCACAGCCACTGGCTCAGGACCTTGCGTCCCTCGTAGCCCCATTGCGCCACCACCCAGACCACCCCCCCCCATGGGGTACGTACAGCGTTGTCAGGGTGGAAGATGTAGGAGGCGGGCGAGTTGTCCACAATGATGATGCGGCGCAGGTCGCGGCCCAGGCGGCTCAGGTCTTTCACGTAGTTGCCCCGGTGGAAGACGCAGGACTCGCGGAAGAGCCGGGCACGGAACGCCCCCCATTTATCCAGCAGGTCGGCCACGGGGTCTGCATACTGCGAGGAGAGGGGAGGTCAGCAGGTGGGCAAAGGGAATCGAGGTGGCTGTCAAGGTTCAGTGGTCCCCTTGGGTGGTTGAGCAAGGGAGACAAACGGTGGCCAAAGTCCGGTGGTCCCAAGGTCAGTGGGTGGTTGGCCAAGGGGGACCCAGCGGTGCCCATGGGTGGTCACCAAAAGGGACCACTGACATCCAGCATCCAGAGGTGCCCATGGGTTTGTCACCAAGGGCCAGAGGTGGACAAAGGTCCAGTGATGCCATAGGTTTGCGGCTGCAGGGGACTCATGGTGCCCAAGGAAGGGGACAACAGGGTAACTGGAGCTGCCACTCACCTTGGCCAGGCTGGCGGTGAAGAGCACACACTCAAACAGCTCTCCCATGCGCTGCAGGAACTCGTCCACATGCGGCCGCTTCAGCACATACACCTACAGGCACAGGCACTGAGGGACCCAGCGGCACATAACCCTAACCCTACGGGGGTTGCCAGCACCACCCCCCTGTGACCACTCTGGTGGAGCCCCACACCACAAAGGGCACCACGTCCTGACCCCGGTCAGCAGCAGGGAGGAGACATGCCCTGTGCTGGAATGAGGGGACACCGCCTGCTGATAGTCAGGGGGGTGCCCGCTATCCCTGGCATCTCCAGGGTGAAGCGTTGGGCGGGCTCCGGAGCCAAGTAACCTAGAACAGGCTGACTGCCAGATCACAGCCTATCCTGGATTACTTGAACCCAGCGCCAGCCTCTTTGGGGGGCACCCCACCTGACCCCCAAACTCCTCCCAAGCCCTCACTGCACAGCCCCATACCTGGTGCATGATACCATCAATTTCCACTGGAATGATGAAGTCAGCGTTGTTCACCGGCTGCAGAGAGCACAGCGGGGTCAGCGTGGGGTAGGGGGCTCCCATGGCCCATAAACCTCCCTTCCACCCCAATAGGGGTGCTCCCACCTTGAAGGAGCTGTGCACCAGTGTCTCGTCCAGGTCGATGACCACACACAGCTTGCTGGCATCCTGAGGCTTGATCTCGGGCAGGAGGTGCTTGACCGCAGCCTGCAGCAGGGGGGCACAGCCAGGGGGTCGGTGGGGGGGCGAGGGGCACCCTCTTCCCTTCTGCCTTGTGCCCAGGTCAGGCAGCAGTGTCTCCTTCTTTAGTTACAGGGGGCTGGGGCACGGTGGTCAAGTGCCCCTGGATCTGCCCCCATTTTGGGGTAGGAGTTCTGGAAGGGGGTACCTTGGGCACGGTGCCATTCTCCTCCACCAGCAGTGGGGCGTTGTTATTGACGGAGAAGGGCTCAGCATCATCGTGGCACAGGCAGCAGAAGAGGGACTGGAGGATGCTGCGGCCCCGAGGCTTCTTGGCAGCGGCCGGGGGGCTCTGGGCACCTGCGGGATTGGGGAGCACAACAGGGGTTGGACACCACCAGGATCCTACAATAGCTGCCCTCTGCTGAAGCTGGGGGGGAACTCCTCGAGGTGGGCAACCCCCCGGGGGGTGCTGAGACCCCACGGACACGCGTGGGTTGTGCTGTAGGAGGGGCCAAGCCAAAGGGGAGGGGCCAAGCCATCTTTCTTCCCGCCTCCCCGCCAACTGTTCGGCTTGCTCATTGGCTGGTGCAAACGACCCGGAGGCGAGGAGCCAATCGCGGTGAAGCACACCCCGCTGGGTGCCGTTTCCTGAGCCCCCATTGGTGGATCGCAGGGAAACTGAGGCACGGACACCTTCAGCGCGGCCAGATCCTCCCCCAGCCCAAGCCCGAGGGTCGGGAGCGGGGCAGGGATGCTGCCGGGGGGTGGGACGGCTGCCGACCCTCATGGTTCTGCTCCTCCGAGACTCGCAGGGCCCTGGGAACCCCCACAGTGGGGCAGGGGCTGCCCCCCCTGCGATCCCACGCCGGGACGCCACGGAGCCGCGTCCCTCCGTGCCTCAGATTCCCCGCGGCGCTTCCCCCGCCCCGCTCTCCCCGAATCACCCCAGGAGGGACGCAGACGGGCAATGACGCGTGGAGCAGTGCAGACGAAACCCCCTTCCCGTGTCCCCGCGGCCCCGTCCCGGTGCACGCAGCCCCGCGGGGCCGCACTCCAGCTGAGGCCAACCGCAACTCATCACACACTCCGCGCCCGTCGCCGCGCACGGGGGGCGGGGGGGGGGGGGCACGTGGGGGACCCTGAGCAACGCGGAGCAAAGGGTCTGACCCTTGGCCCTGTAGGAGACAGGGCGGGTGGGGGAAGGCTGGGCTGTCACCGTGTACCCCATAGCGCCATGCAGCGAGAAGAGGGGGAGGTTCGTGGGGGGGGGGGG